TCAGATCTCTGGTAACTGGTTAACCACATTTTTAATTCGCACGCGCGGAGCCGCCCCTGGGGGTCCCCGGGCGAAACGCACCCCCGCAAGTCCCGGCAAGGCTGTGGGGTGAAAGTGGGGGCCAGGCGCACGGTCCCAGCAATGGTCTTTACGGGCCATAGATGGGCGATGCGTCCTCAATTGAAGTTCCCCGTTTGCACAGGGCGCAAAAAAAAAGGTTGGAACAACCGGAAGCGGTGAGGTGAGTGTCAAAGTCTGCCCAGCCATCCTGACATGCGGAACACTGCGCCGCAGTTTTGGTGGTCTGGAAGGCCAGGGCAAAATGTGAATTTGGGGAAAAATGTGAATTCACATCTTGGGGAAAAGGAAAATGTGAACTCACACTTTGGAAAGAAGGAGCATGTGAATTCACATTTTGGAATTTTGTTTTAAAAAAATCTTTAGGAAGGGGCCAGAATGTGATTTTTTGGGGGAAGAAGAAACATGTGAATTCACATTCTGGGAAAAACGACAATGTGATTGCACTTTTCATGAAACTCGCGGGACCCATTCCAAATATGTTCTGGGGGGTCGATAAGTCATCGATTGAGAACATGCGCGATCACCAATCGAACAATCAAGACGCACTTGCGTTCCACTTCGCCTCCCCACGCGCAATATGCAAGAACGGCCGCACGCGTGAACGATCATGGATGGACGGCGCGCGTGCCCGCGCGGGCAACGCGCGGGCACGAACGACTGGCCCCCCATGACCGCCAACATTGGATGCCAAGCCTGCCCGATCACATACATGAGCGATACACTGAGCATGCATGGGCCATTCAACCCCCATTGAAGACCCCCCGTTGCGAACCCCTTTTTTCGCCCTCCAACAAGGCCTCGTCAAGATCCCGGGCAGGTCCTGGGCATGTCCCGGGCAAATCCCGGCAGTGGAAAAATAAGGGTGCAGGCCTTGACCATGAGGTTTTAAGTTGGGAACCCCACTCTTAGGACGACGTCGGCGACGCATCGAGGCATCCCGCAACTCATCCATCGATGGAAACGAGACGAGAGGAAAGAGAGAGGCCGTGGGATGGGGAGGTGGAACATGGAAGGACGTGGCCTTTGTCCGTTGCTATGAGCCGCGAATATATGTACACGGGGCAGGCCCCCTAGTATGTAGGACTGCGCACTCTCGAGCCAAAACAGCGTCGGATATAGCGCTCGCTATACAGCCTCACCGAACCTCGTCTCAGTCGGGAGGAGGAGGGGGGGGGGTGGCAAACGCTAGATCCAAGTCCTGTTTAATTCAACCAGGTAAAGAACAAAGATAGGGAGGCTGTTGTTCAACGTCCCCAACAGCACACAATGCCAATGCGCAGAAAGGGCAGCGCGGAGCACTGGGGCTGGTCATGGCACATCGCCACGACCAGTCGCAGACGATTATGGATAGTCGCGGGCAAATCCACATGACTACCCACAGCCAATTAAGGGGGGACGTCCACCCAGCGAGCTGGACGTCAAAGAGTGCAGCGCGCGAGGGGATGTGACCAAGCGGTCTGCTCCCTTGTAAAAGCAGAAAAGACAAATGCCCGTGTCCGGGCACTCCTGGCAGCTGCGAAGCAGTGCGTGTCTATGCCCGTGGCCGGGCGACGCTAACCACGCTGTAGGTGTACATGCCCGTGTCCGGACATGGATAATTACTTGTCTGAGCGTGAATCGTCGTCTTCATTGGTGTTAGCTGGCCCTGCACTGGGCGCCCCTATGCCGGCGCTGTCTTCCTTGCTTCGATAAGACATGCGCTTTACTTCGTACTTGAAGGACGGATTGCCTTCCGTCACTTGCAGCAGTCACGCGCGATCGATACGCCCCTTGGCATGGCCGTCAGCGGTCTTATCTTGTACGCCATGAACTGTACTTCGGTCCATCATCTGTCTGGTCCGCTGGATGTGTCCCAGCTGAGTACATGTCAGTCGGCTTACGCAAGTCCTTACATGACAAATATTCAAAGATCGACTCAACGTCTATAAGAATAATGGCATTCTTAATGCTGGAAAACCTAGCTCCGGAATTCTCTCGAGTGGGCGTTAGGGGTCCAGCTCTACGCTCATGTAGCGTAGCGATGGCAGGGTAGCAATCCTCAAGATCACGAGCGGCTGCCAGTGTTTCCGCTGAGTAGCTGGCACGCACCAGCAAGCGATGCGGCATGCAAGATGCATCAATCATATGTACTACTGCCTTGCCATTGGGCGCGTGTCCGCGCAGTACAAGGTTGGCCCTTCGGATGACATATCCCTTTACTACGTCATCTTCGCCCCCCTTAAGGCGACGGTATCCTGAGTCACTGAGAAGATCCACTTCTCCTGTCGGAGTCATAATTTGAAATGTCGTATTCTGTGGTCGTTGCTGAAGTTTGCGTGTGACAGCGTTAAGTCTGCGAGCTTGGAGGTTTGCGGGCTCCTGTGCACGTTGTCGGAATACCACGTATACCACTTACCACACTTGAGTGACCCATGCATACGCCAAGGAGCCACGTTAACTGAGGAACATGTCGGATACGGTCTTCGTTGCCTTCGTTTTTGCTACAGCGCCCGTGAATTCTAGATGCTGTATTGGGCGAAATTGTTTGGTGAATTTATCGTGATCTATCCGAGGGCCTCAACAGGCCCTGGCTCCAGGGCCGCGGGAGGCCCGGTTGCCATCAAGACAAAGAACATAAAAAACGCTGCGCTTGAGAGCTCTTTAAGTGCATAAGGGATTTGGGCATCAAAAGACCCCAAGAAAAACCGTGGCGACGTTGGCCTGACGAGGCCTCGGGAATCCCACCGGGGATTTTAGCCCGACGTGGGCCTTGGAAGTGGTGTTGGTGACTTTGGCCTGAGGCGCCATTTCGGATCAGACGGACCACAGCTGGCATGGCAGACCCAAGCCAAACGCGCCTGGGGGCTCGGAGGGGGTCAAGAGATCATGTCACGGAGTCGATGCGTTGACGGTCTATGCCCAGGGCCCTAAGGGAGCCTTCGCCGCTACGGCTGGACGTAACTCCACACTTGCGGGCCCCACGTGAGGAAAAAAACAAGGTTCAACTGCAACCTCCCCCTAATCTTTGGAAGGGCCCTTTCAATTGAACTGTTTTCGGGTCACTGGCCGTACAGACCGTCACGGTATGTGCCAAGCTTTTGTTTATCTTGGGTAGACGTGCGGATTGGATTGGACTCGGGTTCAGCGGTGGGTTCAAAACTAGAATAAGCTGGATACCAGTCAAACGTTCCCTGGTTGCAAGCAAAACGCGTTAACAAAGTTGCCCCCCTCCCCAACCTTCGCAGGGCGGGCGTGTTAAAAATCCTCAACGCGACCCAAAACAATGCGAGTTTGCGAATAACCACCCGAATTCCCGCCTCACCTTACCGTTTCTCCTCCCCCATCGCCTCCTCAACTCTCCGGCGTTGTCAAACTTTTGCCCCGTGCCATGGTTTGTCGCAGCTGGACCCTTGACAAACGGTTGTGGCTTCTGCACTGTTGATTCCCTCCTCCTCCTCCTCGTCCTCCTCCTCGTCCTTGTCACTCTCCTCCTCCCTGACGCCCGAGTGCGACCTTCTGGGGGTGTCGCCGTTGAGTTTCGGCCACGCTCGCGGGACGCGACCCCTTACCTCGGACAGTCCTGACTTCTGCGCGTGGTGGTGTGGCGGCATCCTGATCTGAAATCTTGGCGCTGCGCTACGGGGGCAGAAATTCAGCAACGCAAGATAACACGTTAGCCATGGTGGGCCGCAAACGTCATAGTATTGCGCCGCGATGTGCGCGCAGCGTTGTGCGAGCTCCGTGTCGCATGGCGCACGGATGCGCACGCAAGGGGTTCAGCCTGCGCGGATGCGCGGGTGGGCGGGTACACCGAAGATGAGATTTGGAAGGGGGGGGCCGCGCTGGTGGACCCTCTGGGCGCACGAGGCGGCAACGAGACGGCATCAAGGCGGCGCGGCATCAACGAGGCGAAACATCGACGGACCCATCCGAATCCTTAGAACGCAAAGGGAGAGCCCCCATTCGAAAGCATTGTCTGGGGAAAGAGAGCAGCGAGGCGAAAGCAAGGGAGAATGGAGAGAGGAAGGCAGCGGTAGGAGGAATGAGGCTGTTTGCCAAGGTTGTATTTCGGGCGCGCGCCCCATAGAAAGGTCCGGAGCCAGGTTGCCAGCATTGTGACCGCTGATGCGGTGAATGGCAAGCTGGTGCGAACCGACCAAAGAGGATCCTGGGCGCAACGTGCACTGCTGCAGCTCCCAGGCGGGGCATAATGAGCAGGACTTGCTGAACCCGCGCAAGGACGCCATCCCAGCAACAGGGTGCCCAAAGCAATGCTGCGGCAACCTAAGCTGTCGCAGCACGAGCGCACCACGCTGTGCACATCCGTGGCCATAGCACAGTGTCGACACAGATTCCGCCACGGGCTCGAGATCCAGGAGCGCCAAGCCCCGGCCGCCGGGGACACGATGGGAGCCTCCCTGGCATGAAATCGCCCTGGGGTGGCGGCGGTGGCCGAAATCCCACATATGTCCTTGCAATGGTCGAAATAATGGCCGTCTTCCTGCTCCCGCATCCAGTCGAAGCTCTCCTTGAATGACCTGTTCCGCCTTTTCTGCTCGCCGTGCCACTTGGTCACGAAGTCGGACACGAACACGACGATGCCGACCTTTCTCTTGTTCATAGTGCCCGACAGGGACGCCGACGCGAGCACCAATGTGGTTTGGCAGCAGTCCTTCATGAGGCACACGCCCATGCCCACAACCTTGTTAGAAGTGGTGGCGCCCCCCTCACCGACGATCTCCTTCTGGCCAGGTTCGAGCATGAAGGCTTGGAGGATCTTCCCTCTTGAAAAAATCCTCCCCCAGGCACACCAGCGTTCTCGAACTCCTCGCACGTCCAATCGGCGTGCCGCTCGGCCGCAACAGAGAAAGAGCCCATGAACCTGTTGTAGTTGCAGTGTAGCTCTTTTTGCAAAACGATTCCCGCGCTTTCAGGTGGGTTCACACCTGCTGGTCCAAGGGCTCGGCGGGGTCGAAGACCATGCCCTTGCGCTCGAAGCCGCCCGCAATCTCGACGCAGAGGTCCGAGAACAAGGGCGCCATATTGTGCTGCGTCCGCTTCAAGTAATGTGCCATGTGCTCGCGAACCTGGTGCAACCGCGCATCGTCGTCATGCGGCCCCTGCCTCACGTCCAGCCGGATGAGGTTGACGAGCCAAAACTGTTGCAAGTCAGCCGCTTTCAGCGCGACATCCATCGACTTGTGGGCCTCGTGGCTCCAACAGGGCCGCTTCGTGACCGCGAACTTCCAATAGTATTCCATTCCACGCGCGGCGCACAAGCCATCCGATCCCAAATCGATGGCAAGGTTGACGCGGGTGATTCGTCATTGACTGCGAAGAACGACCACCCTGGCAACGTAGTTGTGCGCAGCCACTGCAAGTCCGCGTGCTGGAGCCACCGCTTCGCGGCCACGCTGTGCAGAGTCGCTGGCCATCAGGAGTCGTTCGTGCCCTCGTCGGCGCTTCGCTGCAGCCACGCGCGATGACGCGCCGTGGCGAAGGATCCGTTATCCAACAAGTTCCTCCGCCTCGCCGCCGCCTCCTGCTTGCGGCGAGTCTCGTCGTCGCCGTGCTTCGAAACCTCGCGGACGGCGCGCCCCGCCGACCCCGCGAACCACCTCCCCCACGCCCAAGAAACAAAAAACCGTGCGCAAGAGGCGACACGACCCTGAAAGATCTTGGTGGTAACCGGCGTCGGTGGTAGTAACACAATCAGTTGACAACCAAACAATACCACCAACGCCAAGAATCGAGGTACGACCGCCAAGGACAAATTGCTTGACTTTCCCTGAGCGCCCCTGGAGGAGTTTTCACCGCGACACAACCACGGTGGGGCAGACCAACATGTGGCTGCTGATCAACGTGATCGTGCTGCTCGTCACTGGGATGCCTACCTGGGCATGCTCCGTCGCGAAAGAGAAGCACTGTTGCTCTGCGCTGACTTCGACGCAACTGAGCAAGTATGAGGCGCACTTGGGCGATGTGTTCAATTCAAAAACTTCATGTGACGATTTGAACGTGACGGTCTCTGGGGGCTCCAGGCCAGCCCCCTCGCGCCCCTGGCAATTGCGTACGTGACCTGATCCACGGAACGACGCAGGTTGGATGGCCACCTGGTGACCAGGATGTCGAGGGGGAGACGGAAGCCCGCATCGCTGTTGTTGCCCTGAGCATACTCAGCGATGAGCGGCATCACGGAGCAGAGCCATGTCTTGAAAAGCTTGCCAACCCCGCGTTTCACGCTGGTCTGCTCCAAACCCTGTCCACGAGGCCTTGGTCATCAACGCGCGCCGTGAACGACTGCGCCCCAATGCCATCGGAACTCGGCCAGGTCGGCGCCCACTCCGCGGCAACGTACACAACGAACTCGACGCCTCCGACGCCGCGGACGAAGAGGTCGATGAAAGACTTCGGGATCATCATGGCCGCCTCCTGCGGCTTCTTGTACATGAGGCCGCCGTGCAAGGGGTCCATGGCGACCCAGTTTCCGAGGATCGACAAGAAATCACACGGGCCCAAGCATGGAGTTGCCAAACACGTATCCCAAGCCTCCAACAACTGTTTGCGCTTCCCAGAAATTCCGTGCGTGGAATACTACCAGGTTGGAGCAAAACGATGTCATGACATCCGTCTCGCCCGCACTGGGCCCAGGCATAGAGCGATTGAAGACGTGAGCCAATAAACACCATCTCGAAGCACAAACCCCATACCCCCAAGAAGATCGAGACTCAAATCGTTGGCCCCATCTGGCCAGCACGCGCAGTCAACGTCGCAAATTCGCCTGGCCGAGATGAAGGCGCAATCCGCTCCGTCAGTTGCGCTGTCGAAGCTGGTCGGCTGCCCTCGGGCTGGGAAAACCAACTGAAGCTTCACAGTCGGTCCAAGCGAACCCGGTGGCATGCTACCACATGGCATGCCGAACCGCGTTCAAACACACACACACACACCTGTTCAAGTTTGGGCGTGGGCGGCACTGAATGGCCATGCGCATGGCCATGATTCCAGGCGCGGGCCCTATCTCGGCGCGCACTTTTCCGCGAACGCCCACCAACTCGACCAAGGAACCTACGGGGGGGGGGGGGCGGGCGCAGCGGCAGCTTGCGGATCCTTTTGCCCATTTGGAATGTTGATGCTGGAGCCACGTGGATGCTCTCCCACCGTACTTCGTCATGCCTGTTGCGCTGTGCGTGGCCAGGGCTGGCCAGTAGAGCTGCTGTTTGCCCGTGCGAGGCTTGATGAACGCGTAAACGTCGAAGTCCCACCATGAGGACGTAACCCCCAGGTGGACCGTCGCGGTGCCCTCGCAGTGCTGCACCTTCAAAGCGTTTACGGGCTGTGTCGACCCATCCGCACTCCGAATGTAAAGGCAGCCCTGCTTGTCCTTCACGACCGTCTTCTGGACTAACTCGGACGTGAAGTACGTGTCGGGCTCATCCATGGGGTCCGCGGGCACAGAGAACACGCGCGCGGTGTCATCGTCATCGTCTACCTCTATCTCGAAGTGGCCCCCCTGCAACGTGCGAGTCTCGTGCGTGATCGAATGCGTCACCTGCCAGGTGCCCTCCCGGACCCTGTCCAAGTGCAAGAACTCCACCTCAGAGACTGGAGTGAACGTGGGAGCCCCATGGCAGCCGTCGCCTCTCCCCATCGGCAGGCCACAAGGCAAAGCCTTCTCGTCCGAGCTGGAAACACTCGAACCCACCAGATCCCGACCAATGCTCGAGTCACAATGGCCGTGGGTGATGGCAGTGGCTCTTCCCCAAAAACAGCGCAGTGCACGCCACGACCGACGTGGACAAGAATAAGGGCTGCCCTGGCGGCCTCGCCGAAACGATCTAAGTAATGCCGATCCCATCGGGATAACGTGAAGACTCTGGAGGCATGCAGGACTTCGAAGAAACAAAGGAGGAGAGAGCAGGATATAGAAGAGATCAAGGAGGAGGCAGGAAATGAGGGCGCCAGGAAACAGGAGGAAGAGGAGAGTGCGGGAAGAACATGGGCGAGTTTCAGAACGCATGGAACAGGAAGGCGCCAGGGAAAAAAAGGGGGAAAGGGAGGAGGGGGGACACAAGACGGCAGTATAATAATTAAAGAAGCAGGAAGCAGAGGGTGGGAAGGAAGGGGGAAGCACAAAGCACAACCGCACCGCTACACTTTGACCCCATTTGGTGCAGCGGACGACATGGGCCTCAAGAGGCCCTGGCCCCAGGACCGTGGGAGGCCAGACGACCGCCCGAACAAAGGAACATGACGCTACAATTAGAGCTCCTTTAAGTGCACCGGGCATGTTGACCACAAGGGGTCGCAGAATAGCCCCAGGACTTTTTGACGTGGCCTCGGGAATCCCGCTGGGGGATTTTGGCCCGACTTGGGCCTTGGAAGTAGTGCTGGCGATTTTGTGCCTGCTGTGCCATTTCATATCAGGCACGCCATGGATACCATGGCAGACACATGCCAAACCCCGCAGCGCCTCGGGGCTCAGACAAGACGGGTAGGGGAGGAAGGGCCCAGAGATCATGTCGTCGGTGCGTTGACGGTCTGTGTTCGCGGCCTCGAGGGAGCCCTCGCCGCCACGGCTGGCCGCAACTCTGAAAACTGGCGGGCTCCACGTGATGGGCAAACATTGGTTCAAATGCAACCTCCGCCAGACACTTTGAATAAATTGGTTTCTAATAGCCGTGCGATCACAGGAAATTATAGCCGGAGTGCAGTATCCCCAAACAAGGTGTTTAAACCCACTGCGGTTTCCAAGGTCGATCCTCCTTCTTCTCCTCCTCCTCCTTCTCCTCTTCATCCCGGACGACTTCTCGGAGCCCAGAGTTGCGTGGATGTCTCCAGCGTAACGGGCTGGACCACCTCGCGAGCGGCATCTCGGACCCCAGAGTTGCGACGATGTCTCAGGCGAAACGTGCTGCGAGGAAGTCTCAGGCGAAACGGGCCGGACCACATCGAGCGCGGCGTCTCAGAGCTCCGAGTTGCGGGGGCCTCCTGGGGCCTCCTGGGGCCTCCTGGGGCCTCCTGGGGACCTCCTGGGGCTTCCTCCTGGGCCTCCTGTGCCCTCCTGGACCCCACCTGGGGCTTCCTGAAGCCTCTTGGGGCTCCCAGGGGGGGATATCTAACATGTGGCCATCTGGGCCCCCAGTATGGGGGGGCCAGCTGTGTATCAACTTGACACCAGATGTGTATCAACTTGACACGTTCTGATAGGGGGCCTCCTGGGGCCTCCTGGGAGCCTCCTGGGAATCTCCTGGGGACCCCTGGGGCCTGTCCTGGGCGTCTTGCGGCCTCCTGAAGCTCTCTGGGGCATCCTCTTGCGCGGCATCTGGAAGCTCAGATTTGCGAGAATGTCTTGTGCGAAACGGGCCGGACCACCTTGCGCACGGCATCTCAGAGCTCAGAACTGCGAGGATGTCTCAGGCGAGACGGGCCAGACCACCTCGAGCAGGGCATCTCAGAGCTCAGAATTGCGAGGATGTCTCAGGCGAGAAGGGCTGGACCACGTCGTGCGCGGCATCTGGGAGCTCAGAGTTTGGAGGACGTCTCAGGCGAAACGGGCCGGACCACCTCTCGCGCGGCATCTGGAAAAGCTCAGAGTTTCGAGGATGTCTCAAGCGAAACGAGCCGGACCACCTCTTGCGCGGCATCTGGGAACTCAGAGTTTGGAAGATGTCTCACGCGAAACGCCCAATCCTGGACAACTCAGAAACGAGAGTTGCGAGGATGTCTCAGGCGAAACGGCCCGGACCACCAAATTTGTTTGAGGACGTCTCTGCTTTGAATTCCCTCGGCCGGAGCTAGCTTCTATCACAACAGCACCCTGTTCAGCAAGCTGTTTGGGGAAAAAATTAAGATCTCGAGCTCCTTCAGTGCAGCGGCGATTTGGGCATCACATAGCCCCAGGAAGAGCCCTAGGGATTTTGGCCCGACGAGGCCTTGGAAATCCCGCTGGGGATTCTGGCCCGACGTGGCCTTGACGATACCCCTGGGCATTTCAGGCCTAACGCGCCCTTTCAGATCAGAGAGACATGAGATGGCATGTCAGACAAAAGCCGAGCCCCGCCGCGCCTCGGGGCCCAGGCAAGGAAAGGAGGGGTCTGCGCGTCGACGGTCTCTGCGCGATCACAACGGGTCAAAGTCGTATATAGCCGCCACGGCTGGACGCAACTCTGAAAATTTGCGGGCTCCGCGTGAGGACAACAACTGGGTTCAAATGCAACCTCCGCCAAGTCTCGGGAGGGACCATTTTGAGTGAATGGGTATG